CCCCCCGCCTATTACAGCCACTAATGGAGTGGTATGTGGCCATGTCACATTGCGCCTCCTCGCCGGAGCAACCGTGACCGGTTCCCCTACCAGACTGCTTGGTGACCCCGAGGCGCTGAGGTGCCAGCTCCAAAACCCGAACCTCACCGGGGGGCGCGGCGAGCCAACGCCACATGGAGTTCCCAGGCGATCACCCATCCAAATCTCGGTAATATCTGACATTCGGTCATGTTACACTAGCTAGAAAAATTTACCGCTTGTCCAGCTGGACAAATTGTAAAATACAAATTATGATTTAATGACGATTATGTGAATATGAAAAGTAGATTCTTTTTCTCTCCTGGAGATCTCCTTCCTTCTTTCATTTCGGGATTCATGCGCGACTCACGCTCAAAACATATCAATGATATGCTATATATGTATATACTTTAAACAAAAGCGAAAGGGGAAATAAGCAACTAGCTAACTAAAGCGAAAAGATAGGAAAAGCGAAACATCTTCGAAAAAGCTGAATTTTGCGTTGAATTTGAACGTCCAACGAGGACTGAGAAAATGTTGCATTGGTCAACGTATTATTAATTTTCGTTATTACCTTTATTCGCAAAGAACTTAAATTACAAGATCGATATGACAATGACTGAAATAGCACAGTAGAAATTAAATATTGTTATGGATCCAACATTGGTTGTTATTTTTGAACATCTGCTGATTATAATTTTCGTCATTTTTAAATAGGCAAATACGAAGATTATAATACATCTTCCACTTACAGAAACTGTTCTAAACTTCTCTACCCATCCTTAAGTTTCATCGTTCTGTGAATTTTTATAAGTCATCAAGAACGGTCTTTCCGGAGCAGGACACAGAAATTCTTTAAATAGCGAAGTGAAAGCACCACTCTTGTTACCAACTGGTTCCAACAAATTGTTCCACAGACTATTCGCATCTTGGGAAACACAAAACATTTCTGATTATCAACGTAACACTCGTTAAATAATTGTATAGTTTCATCTGTTATACTCACATAATGCATGTAGTTTTTGACTCCAATGAAAGCAATCAGCGTTAAGATATGAGAGGTCGGTAAATCCATCCTCGGCAAGAGGTATTTTTGCATCTACCAGAGTCGGTAACATTACTACGGTGAAGTCATTTCTATGAAATTCTGGATAATTAGCGACTTCTTCGTCAATCTCTTGCCACCTAAAAAAATGAAACAAGCTAGCATATTCTCCATATGCATTTTAAAATAGATGTCAAACGGTACTTGAAATGTGTTAGGGAAATAATATCGCATAAATGTGAAATAATAAAAATAAGCTGATTGTGGTGCGAAATGTCGCACCGCGCTGAGACAGAAGTAAAATTCCTTTGCTAGTTACCAAGATTTCGCATTTTTTCAGTATCTGTATATCATATTTTGGCTTCGTAATTACACTTCGTGATCATTTGGATTATCATAGTAGCTAAAAGTTCGTAGTTTTTTATAGCATAATTTTTATTATAGGAGATTATGTGGAATAATCCACTGCCAAAATTAACGATTTCCGATACACGGTATGGTAATGGAAAGGTGTAACACTTTTTCAAGATAATTAGGGTAAATTCCGCATTCCTAATCGGGATAGACGCCATATTGATTTAGTAAAGGCAAGAGGTGAATTTAAACTGTTTCGCGCTGAAGGAGAATTGTTAATGATTCATTTACGGAGAAAAAGAAGGAGGGAAGTTGGGGTATTTACACCATATCGATAATTTTCCGATAATTTTTGTATTCACGCGTCATTCGAGTAAGGGTCTCGCCGATCTTTGTGATAAGAGAAAAGAAATGTTAGAGGTTCTGCGTGACACCAAGCTTCGTAAACACGATCGGCAAACTCGCGCGGGCTGCGAAATATTAGGAGGCACATCCTGCGCGTATCTAATTTCCCCACCATCGAACCTTTCTCACATCTTCCGCGCATGCGCTCGAAATGTCGAAAGTGTTGAGTTTATGTTAGCCATCGAGGCAACGACATTTAGAATACCCCCGAACGAGACGATCGCGGTGCATGTATCAAATTTGTATAAACATTGTTTATATGCGCTAGTATATATTAATCACTTATGGTGGCAATGGACTAGAGGAAATATTGATCCTCTCTATGCGAAAATTTGATGGGACGATTTTCGGGTTGCTGTTATGGATTTTAATGAATAAGCAGATTTAACGTCTAACCTATGATTTTTCTTACAAGGATGGTTTATGTTTTCGAATGCCACAATCTTTTTCTCTACAACTTGTACGAGGTAAGTTGCGGATCTACATTCGTTCGTGTAAAAAACAAAGCGCAATTCTTTTGCTCACGATTTTCATCTTATTTTAACTTCAAGAATCTGTACCGAAACTTACCTGCGGTATCAGACGACTATCGATATGTTTGTGATGTTTCAAGTACAGTACTTGTTGTTATCGGTTAGTAAAGAATCAATATCCTGATTAACTGAACAATAACTAATACCTTTGCCTTTGATATTAATTGATAACAGATTGAAATTCGTAGATCGCTGTCGATAACATCGATACCGCATCGAACACATCACTAGATCATCGATCACATCACTAGATATGTGTTATATAAATACGAACTCGTCTGAATAGACGCTCATAATATAAATTTATAAATATACTTATCAGTGTTTTTCATCCAAAATCGAGCCCGACATTGCCCGAGTGATCAATAAGATCTTAATGTGAATTGAAATCAAAGATGATGAATCTATGTCGTTCTCTAATAACTCTTTTCAATAAAGTTATTCACCAACATATAACAAGAATGACATACGCTTACATATAGAATAAAAATTAAGGTAATCGGATTATAGAGATTATTTGCAGGTCGCAGCGATGTGTTTATAGACATACAACAGTAGATGAGTGGACACACCATGCAGACACAAACGTTGTCTTATAAGTCAAATTCAACATAGTAGTAGCAGCAGCTTTCTCTAAATATGTCGGTAACTAAGTGAGTTTACCCCCTATAGGAAAAATGTCGAGTTTCACAACATACTTAAGCTTCATTAAAATGGGAATAGTAGCCCCTTTTATGTATAATTACTAAGATTAAATATAAAGTATGATATAACAAAATTCTTGTAAGTGTTTAATCCTCAAGCACAAAATATTTAAAAAGTTAAATTCGGAAAATTATACAAACCTCTCCATTAATTCATAATATTCCGGTCTTTCATCCCTAAATTTTAAAGCAAACATACATGAGCATTCAATCATGGATGACACATAGCACCGCAATGACTCTCTTCCTTTGTGTGCAGCAACCAGTTCCTTTAAGTGAGGTGGTGGTATAAGAGCAACAAAAGTTCTTGGTAAGTTGTCTCTTAATATTCTAAGAGTATTAATTAAATCTATTTTTCTAAGAGTATAAATTAAATCTATTTTGTGATCATTTAACATAGTCCATGGAGATGTTGCACACGCATTAAGGCAAAAATCATTGCTTCCAATCATCAACGAAATCAACTGGAAAACATAAAAATGTAGATACTATTGCTTAAACGATTAAATATTAAATGAAATTATAATTTTTAATTAAAGAAAGAAAAAGTTGTCCAATTTCATACTGGCATTTATATATATGTATATAATTATTTTGTCTACGAACATACGAACCTTCCAATGTTTATTGATATCTATCCTCGGGTCATCTTTTATTTTATTGATCAGATATGTCGCCATGAAAGTCATATCTTTAGACATAGCTCCACCTTCGGCGACGTTTAACTGCGCAGCTGGATCACTACTTATAGCGTCTCCAAGTGAATAACCTATTAATTTAGGATTGAATTCCTGCATATAGAAAAATCGGACTATGAAAGATTTCAGCATTCACATTTATGACGATAACACAAATCATATGCGTAAACAATGCAGATGTAAGAAATGAACAAACTTTAAGAATATTAGGGAGAGTCAGGTACTCTCGCCAAGTTCCTTGACCGCCAATACTACCCACTATGCCTCTATTTTCAATGTTCACCTCGAACATATAAATCGAAGTAACTCCAGCGCCGATTGTCAAGGAATCACCCATTGCAGCAATGACATCTATGTCTCCTGGTTTTAAATGGTGAACCGACTCGGGAACTTTTGGAGACCTGCCAGCTAAACAAATTAAAGTGAAGACATTAGAATACATATGAACTTTAAAAGATAAGCATCAATTTTACTATTCTTAAACTACAGTGTGGTGAGGAACTTGTAATGTTACATATGTATCTTAAAAAATGATATTAATAGGACAAAACTATGAATGAACTCAAAATCACATTGAAATTCTTGTAGTCACTACAAGTTGTGAAGAACAGCGTTCTTCACTGTAGTTTGCTGCCACAGAAATTTACCGATTGTCTCTAGGATAAATTGTAAAAATTATTGGAAATAAAAGAAATCTGCGATTTAAAATGAATAATGATTTTAAGGAATAAATACGACGATGTAATATTTACAAGTGATACCATGAAGTATTTGATAACAATAATCATAAATTTGGTTAACTACCTGTAACGTTGCAAGGAAAAGGGACGTGTATTGGAATTTCCTTTTGAAAGTTATTTTTATTCCGTAGTTGAGACATTCGATCCTCATTTGTTGTGCCTACAAAATAGTCATTTTAAAACAACTTACAAAAATACTTCATCTGTGATGTAACGTTACACGCGATATGTTAAAACTCCGATCAAGTAATTGCAACGAATGATTTCAAAACTTCTACAAACGTTATCGGATTCGTTCTAAATTTTAGACATATAGAGGTGTAATCTTGTTACTTGTACCTTATAGTAATAAGAGCATTGTTTTCACTTCTTAAATTTAACGTGCATATTTTAATTGTCTAGAGTTTTAATAGTATATGAAAACTTTCATGAGCTACTGTATATTTTCAAGATTTATGCTATAAAGTAAAGGCGTTCAGTGGCGAGGTATCAACTTTTCCCGCGCACCCCGTCCCTAATCTAACCAAAACCCAATTTGCATCTGAAATCACAATCAGGTTGCTGCCTCTTATACTCGTATAACAAGACTGACCAGTATTTTAAGAACAAATGGAAATGGTATACGGACACCTTTTGATTTCACTTGTACCTAACAGCTCGTTACTTTTAATACACTTCAGGACTGCTGTTTAGTTTCGTTACGAATTTCGAAATAAGTACTGTTTACAAAATTCTTCCTTATTCTTGCAAAATACCACAGAATTCATAGCACATGTTACTTGAAAATATAATCTCTACAATATTTATATGTTAAAAGAAAAATTATCCGTGCTGTGCAAGCTTTTGTCTACTTTTACCGAAAAAAATTTCGTCAACTTATCATTTTATCGCGAAAATATATATATTCACAATGAAACATTAGTCTATGAAAAATAAGATTCACAATATTTCAATTCCTCCAAAAAGCATCTCTCTAACCAAAAGGAAGTGATATTATTGCATAAAGACGTAACACGATGATATTACTGCATAAAGACGTAACACGAAATAAACTAAAACAGACGTACCATAGGATTGCGTTAACCAATTACGATATCCACGGTAGATGGAATTGAGAATCGACGTATCCAAGGCAGTTCTTTGCGACATGGTCAACACGCATAATTCCAATACAAGGTACAGATACAGCTTCTTCATCGTAAGTTTTGTTGCACAATCAAATGGTCACTTTTAAGTTTCCACAGTGATATTTTATTTTTATTGATTACAAAGGCAAAAAAATATATAAATTCTTGTGATGACAGCTAACTGTTGCGCGTATTATCGAAGGCCTCGATAGCGCCGCATCCAGTCTTAGCTGTTGCTCGTTAGCGATCGTTACAAACACTGTTCGCACTCGTAAAAGATTAGAATCTGTTATGTTACATGATCATAATGTGAGATAAAATGTATTCTTTGATTCAGATACTCCCATCTCAATTATTTTTCTTGCTTATGTATTTGCATTTACGTTGTCAACAAGGTCAGGAAAATTAATAAGTACGGATAGGCAAAGCCTGGGCAATTTTATTTACATATTATATAACATGTATAGACTACCGTTATTTCTTATTGTACTTTAAGCATACTATAAAAATTGTATAACAAAAAAAAAGATTTGAAAGAAAAATTTTTCTCAAGAAAAATGTTACAGATGTTGCTTTCCTTGACTGCATACGTTAAATATGATAAATTCAAGTTAAAATATCTGCTAAATTAATATAGTTTTAGATAAAAATAGGTTAATACTTTTTTATAGAGAATGCCGAACTGGATTAACGTATTAAAAGGCATATGATTTTATTTGAAAAAACAAAACTGACTTTTGCATTTTCTCTAAATCTTATTACCACATTTTTTAGTCCTTTAAATCCTAGAATCCTTATGCGAAACATTTTCCCGTATTCTCTGAAATGAAAATAATTAAATGAACGGAGTTAATACGGAAGATGTTAGTTTCTAGTTCGTTACTGGTTACTAATCACATGTTTATTCGTTGATTGCTTTGCCGAGAATTTTTTATTTTTTTAACGTAACTTATTTTCTAACAGGGAACGTCATCATTAAACTAATTTATAATAGAAAAATATAATTTTATCATCAATCATTACAGGGTATGGTTTTACGTGAAAAATAATCATTTACGTACCATAACACTATTCGCATATAACAAATATAACAAATATTACAACGCATATAACAAATATTACAAATATAATTATTACTAAAATTTACTTATGTGCAGCGTTTTTCCATGGACTCCAAATCTCTACAGGACAATTACGGACACAGTATTACTCTAAATCAAACATCAAGCATACCATTCGTGATGAGCTAACAATTTATGTCTATTTAACAAGTCAATGGAAAGAATAAGATATCATAAAAGTCATTGCATCTGCAAAGAGTCTACAGCTCTGCTTTCTGCCGAAAATAGCATCTACATCATCCAATTTCAACGCTTAATTTTCTATTTAAATATTCTCAATATTCTCTACCTATACCATGAGTTTGCACTGCATGCGATTTAATTATTTTGTGTAATTGTATTTTAAATGTCTTCTAGAGGCTTTCGTTAAATGTTTTGTTAAACTGGTTAGTTAAATTAATACAAAGTGTCTAAAATTCATTTACATGTTTATTTATCGTTACTATTTCGTGTCATTTATTTTCATTTAATGCAAAAATTAGGAATATTCATTAGTCTTTAATACAATTTATCATCGGTACGCGACAAATTAATTTTATCACGGTTACAGAAAAGAGTATCCTCGTATATACAGACACTCTTATAAAATTCAAATTAAACTGAATAAAATTTGCAATTCAGATAGTTCACGTGACAGCGCTCGACGTGGCCTAGACCTTCGTAATTTAGACATAGACGAGGTTATGTCATGACGAAACCGCAAAAACCCATCTCGACGTAACAGGTAAACGTGCCAAGGTAAACTATACAAATGAGGATTGAGAACACAGACTGTAAGAATTCAAAACCAGCGAAGAAATATGTCGCATAAATGTACTTGTATTTGGTGACATCATATAACTATCCCCGGTAAAAGAACGTTGTTGTTTTGTACAACTACAGTGACGTGATTATTATAATCACATTGCAGATATTAATTCTTGGTACCAATTTTCAATCTCCGAACTCGTCACGAATATAAGGCAGAAGGACGATACAGAGTTTATCGACCTAATTCACGATTTGGCGACATAGCAATTCCTCAATAAGAAATACTATGCGAGCGAAGGAGAATTCCTCTATTCTGAGAGTTTGTAGTTGCTGCAGCATTAAGAATATTCCCGACAGCAAAATTAATGGACGAAAATGATACAAAAATGAGATAGCATAATCACATTGTATATACATTACTTACTCAGTAAGACGAGTTTCGCTAGATATGGAAAATGATCCTCCAAGAATGTTATTTCTGCAAACGTAAATAAATGCAGCGGATGTTGCATACAATAGCATTAGCTGAGAGATCACGAAATGTTACGACGAAACATGTCAATTCTGGTGGTTTGATGAACGGCGCAACGGGAATGGTAAAAAAATTTACATCGTCAACGCTTTGAAGAAATGAGCTGGAAGACGGGGCATTCCCGGACTCAGTGCTTATAAAATTTAACGACGAATCCATTGAAAGCAAATTCAAAGACATCGATGGCTACATTCCGATATCTGCAACATTTCAGGCGATGAAAGGTTATGAAATTACGTTAAACGCAGAATGTTATCCCTTATCCTAAGCTGTAATGACTGTACATAAATTACGAGAAACTACATCAAACAGGGCTGTAATTGGTCTTGGCAAAAAGAATTTTTCAAAGGACCAAATCTACTTTGCTCTTAGTCGTGTTAAAACGTTAAACGGCCTAGCTACATCTGATTTAATACCTAAGACATTTATTAATGAATCCTATGACGAAAAGGTACTTGCAGAAATGCAAAGATTACCAGGACTTTCTTCGCCAAAAAAACAGCTGAAGCCTACCTTCTACCACCAATGCGTCAAGAAACGACCCAAATATCTTTGAAACGAGGAGTTAGTAATAAAATATACGAAACAAGTCAGCATTGAATGGCAAACCTATATTTAGAAACGGGCGATGTACTCTCCCAATGAAAATTTTGTAAACTAACCGCCCAATTTCATCACTTCCAGCAACTAGTTTGTGAGAAACGGTGGGATACAACCGAATGAAATGACGAATAAGACAGTTCATTTGCAATAACGATAAGAATAAAGAAATTGAACAAATTTCACAAGAGAGATTAATCATTAGACTATCTCTAGAAGATATATATAAGAAGCTATAAAAATGATCATGACTGCTCGACTGACTACTTGACAATGATGATGCGTAAAAAATCCTTTAATGGGATCAACGGAAGACATACTCTACACGAAGCATCTTAATATCAGTTCAACGATTGAAGAGCAATCATTGAAAAATTAACGCAAAAAGATTATATCACGAGACCAACAGAAGAATATGCTCTATGAGATGCAACAGGAACCGTATTGGTTCATCAAGCCGTTCCATGGAAATCGATAGACATACACGAAATCGGTATATCATTCATCGGTGAAATTAATGTTTTAAAACAGAACATAGTTTAGAATAAACAAATCGGAAAAGTTTTCTTAACAAGATTAACGAAAGAGTATATCCTACAAGATGCATGAAAAAAAAGGAAAGAAAAAGATATACTCATTGAATTAGAAGTCCCCTCTCTCGAAGTCGATATAATATAAATATCACTTAATCGGATAAAGGTTTATCCCAATTAAAATATTTGTAATTGTTATATTTATATATTGTAACTATATTATAATTATATCATGTTGCAGATAAAGGAACATGTTTAATATACTGAATATAAAGTATTTTTTTCACACTTACTTGTACACTTCTTTTTATATTGGCCTTTACAATGAACTTTCTTTCAAACGTTAAATATAAAATTTTGTTATTCTTTGGTAATTTTATCATTAACGCATAACTGAACAATCTCTCCACGGATACAGAAGAAGACGTGTTAAAACGTTAAACGGCCTAGCTACATCTGATTTAATACCTAAGACATTTATTAATGAATCCTATGACGAAAAGGTACTTGCAGAAATGCAAAGATTACCAGGACTTTCCAAAAAAAACAGCTGAAGCCTACTTTCTACCACCAATGCGTCAAGAAACGACCCAAATATCTTTGAAACGAGGAGTTAGTAGTAAAATATACGAAACAAGTCAGCATTGAATGGCAAACCTATATTTAGAACCGGGCGATGTAATCTCCCAATGAAAATTTTGTAAAACAACCGCCCAATTTCATCACTTCCAGCAACTAGTTTGTGAGAAACGGTGGGATACAACCGAATGAAATGACGAATAAGACAGTTCATTTGCAATAACGATAAGAATAAAGAAATTGAACAAATTTCACAAGAGAGACTAATCATTAGACTACCTCTACAAGATGCAGGATGTTTTATCCCAACTGGTTGATCCAGCACAGAGCGATCGATACGCATATATAAAAATGGTCATGACTGCTTGACTGACTACTTGACAATAATCATGCGTGAAAAATTCTTTAATGGGATCAACGGAAGACATACCCTACGCGAAGCATCTTAATATCAGTTCAACGATTGCAGAGTAATCACTGAAAAATTAACGCAAAAAAATTATATCACGAGACCAACAGAAGAATATGCTCTATGAGATGCAACAGGAACCGTATTGGTTCATCAAGCCGTTCCATGGAAATCGATAGACATACACGAAATCGGTATATCATTCATCGGTGAAATTAATGTTTTAAAACAGAACATAGTTTAGAATAAACAAATCGGAAAAGTTTTCTTAACAAGATTAACGAAAGAGTATATCCTACAAGATGCATGAAAAAAAAGGAAAGAAAAAGATATACTCATTGAATTAGAAGTCCCCTCTCTCGAAGTCGATATAATATAAATATCACTTAATCGGATAAAGGTTTATCCCAATTAAAATATTTGTAATTGTTATATTTATATATTGTAACTATATTATAATTATATCATGTTGCAGATAAAGGAACATGTTTAATATACTGAATATAAAGTATTTTTTTCACACTTACTTGTACACTTCTTTTTATATTGGCCTTTACAATGAACTTTCTTTCAAACGTTAAATATAAAATTTTGTTATTCTTTGGTAATTTTATCATTAACGCATAACTGAACAATCTCTCCACGGATACAGAAGAAGACATTAGTGTGTTATATCAAAGAAAATATACGTCGAATCAATGGATAATCCTTTAACGTATGCAAATCACGACTTTCGCGGAAGAAAATTTTGTGATTTCTAATTCTGTATTAATAGAA